TAATTTGTTATTACCATTACTCATTATCATTAATGAAATAATAGTCAGTCAGAGGGCTTATTAATATGTAATAATATGTATACTAAGCCTGAAGGTGGCGCTTTACTACGACGGTCATCTTGGATGGTACACATACATAATTCTGCATCGCTGCGCCATCTTGTCAACACTGTAGTTGTTTAATAGCTCTATGGACTACTCATACAACAGAAAAAAACGTCGCATGGAGTTAGTGAAAAATGGAGATCTAAATGAAAAAACGATGTATTTCAGCAAGTATTTTTTTGTTTTATTTTAGGCCTTCTTCAAAATACCTATGCCACAGCAGTTGATTTTTTTGCCGTAAAACCAAAACAGTTTCATCTATGCTGACTTGCCGATCGGTTAGCGTGAGCCCTGACTGAACACTGCAGAAACTTCACATCGAACTTCGCATCGCGAAGTAAAACAAAATGTCGGAAAACTTTTCTTTGACGCATGCGCATTTGCATAAATGTCTACACACATACGCACACACATACTACACACAATAAAACACAAAGGAAAAACAGTGAAAGTGATTACAATAGTTCTTATTGCATTACATGCATTGGAACTAAAAATATCTCATATAATCTACACAACAAAAAGTATTCCGGATATGATAATGTATCACCAAAAATAATAAAGGATTTCAGATATCATCGTAAGCCCCTAGTCCACATTATAACTTCTGAAACTGGCATTGTTCCTGATAAACTAAAAGTTGCTAAGGTTATCCCCGTTTACAAAAAAAAAAAAAGAACACATGATAAAATTACAGATATCTGTGTTACCTGTTTTTTTTTTCTAAAATTTTCGAAAAGGCAATGCACGATAGACTTTATGACTAACTAAATATAAGATATTAAAGCCCCACCAATACGGATTCCATGCAAAACACTCCACCTCGAATGCCATCTGGAACTCGTTAAAGCTATCCTAACATAAGAAAGTATAATACATACTCCAAGTATTGAAATACACGCTATCGTGTTGGGATTCAATATTTCGACATTAATTATGTTATCATCAGGAATGAAAAAATTATCCATATTAGCAAGCTTATATGCACTAGTACCAAAAGTGTTTAACCAATCAAAACATTACCTCTTGTAGGTGACAGCAGTGATTTAAACAAAAGATCAAAGCATTCTTACTCTACTGATCAAAGCTACTTACAAAAACAAAGAAAGCTCTTTTGAAGCTCTGAGCCCATTTTAAGCAAAGAGTGTAGTCTACGTATAGCAAACGCTTCCTTAAACAATAGGATAGACCAGTTTCGGGAGCTGCCAATAATGTTAGTACTAGAAAATATTAAACCTAATTTATTACTTACATTACAGACATTACCATTCCTAACATCTTTTAAATCAAATACATTTCTTGCCAGTGTTTTCATGGACCTGTCAAAAGCTTTTGATGTAATGAATCATGATATTTTGATACAAAAGATCATCATTACGGTATAAGGGACACAATCGCTTGAAACGGTTCATGAATTACCTAGAAGGCAGAAAACAATTTATCAATATAAATGATACAAAATCATCACTATGTATTTGAAATTATATGTGGGGTACCCCAGTGGTCGATTTTAGGCCCTTTGCCATTTCTACTGTATGCAACGATATATGCAATGTTAGCAATGTAGTTAACTTAGGTAATCTCTTACGCGGATGATACCACTGTTAATTATTCAACTAAAAATATTGACAGTTTAATTAACCCATACATTGGACTTTGAACCTTCAAAATTCAATGAATGCTTTAAAGCAAATAAACTTTGTTATTTTCCAACCGCAAACTATTTTAAAGCAGTCACAAACTATTTCTATCGAAATAAATGGTACCAATATAAAAAGAATGAATAGCGCAACATTCTTAGGTATTGTTATAAATGAACATTCAACATTTTTTGCAACAAAATATCTAAGGCAATTGGTATCATCTGCAAAGTAAAAAACATAATTCCTGTACATACACTACTAAGTATACATAACGCCTTTATCTTGGCACACCTCCAATATGGAAACGTTATGGGGAAATGACTACACATAATGAGAAGCTACATAAGATACAAA